CGAGCAGCGCGGCCACCGATCCCCGCGCCCCCTTCCTCGCTCCGACCCGGCTTCGGCCCGCAGCGGGTTCGCGGCCCGGACGCGGCGGGAGTCGTGCCCAGGACTGTGCGTCCGGCCTCGCCCGCGGCTTCTCGCCCAGACAAGTTTGAACAATGATCACAGTCAACCCGGATGGGAAGATAATGGTCAGAAGATGCCTCGTCACCCTGAGACCCTTTCGGTAAAGTTCTCTCCTGGTTGGCTTGGGGTGGAGGTGGGCGAGGTCGGCCCAGCGGGGACGCAGAGGACGTCCCAGGCAAAGGAGGTGCGCGCTTCAGCCCTCGGTGGTGCCAGTGGGGCCGAGGGAACGGATGGAGTTGGGGTTCAGGGTGCGGGTGGGGGGAGCGTAATTCCGGACCCGTCCCGAGTTGGTCTAGGTTGGAGAGGACTAGGGGTGCGCAGGTGGGAATAGGGGCGGAAAGCACTCTGGTTGTGGTCTTGGGCCCAGGAAGTCGCCCTGGCCCTCGTGCCTCTTTCCACCCCTCAGGTCCTCTCCACCTCGCGGTCGGTCCCACCTGGGGAGCAAAGTTGGTGCACTGGGTCGGGGCGGCGCCCCCTCCCGTCCCGACAGTTGGCCCCTAAGGTCGGTCCCATCCCCTCTGCCTAATTCATCCTCCCTACCCCGCCCTCGGAAGCACTGCCCTCCTCCCGGCTTCGAGGCCCTGCCTACGACGGCGGGAGCATCCCCCAGACTAGAGCAGGGGGACTTCAGACGGGGACTCACCCGGACCGAAGCCCTTGGCGGTGCAGATGCAGCGGGAGTGGGAGGGCGGACCGAGGAGGAGACAGCCCCTCACACGCACCCTGGGCGCCCTGGATGTGCGGGACTCACCGGGCTCTGCTCTGTGTGCGGGACAGCTTCTCCTCCTCCCAAGCACCCCGAAGTCCCTGCGCTGGGTGTCCCCGGGGCTGGAGTGTCAGCCCGGAGACGCCGAGGGGGTGGAGGGTGCCGGCGACAGAAGGGACTCAGAAAAGGCCACAGGTGGGGACCTGGCGCTGCAGGTGAAAGAGGCAGGGGGCTTGGGTTGTGGGGCAGGTGGGCTCGAGCCCCTCTCCTCCAGGCCTCCAGCTTGAGCCCTGTATCCTTCCAAGCCCTCAAGGTCTCCTCCAGGGTCCCTGCAAGTCTCATGGGAGCTGGGGGTGGGGAGACAGTGACCTACCTGGCATCTGCCTCCCAGCGTGGGGGCAGCCCCTGGAGACCGCAGCGGCCAGGCCAGTCTGAAAGGGTTCGAAACCACGGCAGAGCCGGGACCTCTGAGACCGGGGCTTTAGGCAGATTACTGACGGGCATCAGGACCCCCTGACCTGAGGTGCCCAAGGGAAGGTGGGCAAGAAATAGGCATCTCTGGGAAGGGTCTTGCTCCTCCAAGGAAACCTTCGAAACCTTTCCTGGTCTGTCCGGGACTCTGAGAGGCTCCCCGCCCCCCGTGGGCCCAGCCCTACAGACCTCGGGAAGCCCCATTCTGCGGGACGTTTCCTGGCGCGATTAGAGGAAGCCCAGTCCCCAGAACCTCGGACAGCGCCCGGCCCGATTTGGCTTCTCTGTTGCGTCCTCTTCCCATCCCCTTTGGGTTCCTATTTTGTTTGTTTTTGAGTCGTTCAGGCTGGCCTCGAACTCATTATGTAGCTCAGGCTGGTCTCACAACTCATGGCGATGCTCCTACCTGAGCCTCCCCAGTGCTAAGATTACAGGCATGCACCCCTAGGCCCAGCTGGGCTCCTGTCTGCCAACAGCATTGGCGGTGAGCTTGCATATCCTCCCCCCAGTTGTACAACTTAATCCCAGGGTCCCTCCAGGCTGTTAGGACCCGCAGCCACTGGGAGGGTTCATTTCCCCTTCAGAGGGGGGACAGGCCTCTGATTACATCATCACAACTTGTTCATCCCCAGGGTGAGCTGGGAACACTGTTCTTTGGTTTTCCTAGAGCTTCTGGCTGGACCTTTATTCTGTAAATGCTCCTAAATGTTGCTTGGATGGATGGATGGGTGGATGGGTGGATGGATGGATGGAACCACTTTAACTTGAATCCACTATATGTGAGCACAGCTGCTTTGGGGACCCTAAAGTCTCCCAGGCTTGGAAACTGGCAGAGGGAGAATCAGATGAAGGGTATTGGGGCATCAGGGTCTGGGCTAAAGGTGTAGATACCTCTCGCTTGGGAGTCTTGACCCTGGCAGGCAGCTCCAAATACACCTCCCTGGCTGGGTGAAGGTGGAAGTGTGAGGGACAGAAGATGAGCTGGAGGAAGTCCTTCCTTATCCCCAGGCCCAGAGGACAAATGCTGGCTCCCTAGGGATGTGACAGCCCCCTTCCTGCACAGTTGCTCTGCTGTCACCCTGAGACCTGCCTGATTCCCTCTAGGAAACCCCTGGGTCTAAGCCCTGGCCCTAGACTTGGAGGAACTCAGTGAGTGGCCCGTCAGTGTTTCTGGTGCCATCTTGCCCACTGAATCCCATCTCTCCTCCTCCCTGGCTGGGACATGTCTATAAGTTTTCCCCGGGGATGCTCCTGTGCCCTCTCTCTCTCTCTCTGTGGGTCCTACCCTTCTCTGATTTAATCTCTAACAGCTTCCTTTAAATATGGGCTGGGAATTTTGTTGTGCTTTTTATTTTCTTCTGCAATTATGTGTTTTCTTTAATGGACCAAATTTTAATTAAATACTGCTCTGCCAGTTTCAAATAATGAAGATTAAAATGCATAAAACAAGTGTTGCATAAAGATACAAACAAGCGCTGGGTTTGAGGAGAGGAGGCGGGGCAGCTGGAAGTCCCTGGCATGGCCTGTGGGGCCTTCCCTGGCCAGCCTGGCTCCACACAGGGTAGGGTTTCTCACCCTGACCTAGAGGAGGGGGCCTCCCCTCTCAGCTCTTCCAGTTCATTGTGTTTCCTGATAGATTCAAGGTCCCAGAACATCTGCCACCTCTGACTGCTCCCAAGGCTGTGCTGCCAGCCGAGTTCTCCTGTTTGGGGCCCAGGATTGGGCATTGAGGAGTGGGAGCCTGAGCTGGGTTTAAGAGTGGGTTCTGTGTCTGGTTCCCTACTCCTTCCCTGGCACCTAGATAACCGTTGAGAGAATGAGCGAGGTCATGTTTGACCAATCTTCCCAGCCTGGTGACAGTGTACTTGCTCATGTGACGCTCCTTGTCCAGGTGTGAGCACGCTCTGGGCAGTTAGTGGTGCAGGCTGGCAAGCACTGTGTGTGGGTCTGGGTGGAAAATGGGGGTCCAGGCACAGCAGGGGCTCGTGTGGCCTTGCCTGAGATCTTATCATCTAGCAGTGACAGTGTATACCACCCTGAGACGACAGATAGGGAGCTCTTGCTGTGTGCCTGATGGTGGCAGGTTCACGGGGTGGAGGGGGGCCCGGATGGTGGACGGGATCCAGGTGGGTCTCGGCTGCACCAATTACCTGCTCTGTGGCTGGCCTCGGGCCCTGCTGTTCCATCTATACCAGAGGTTCTCGAACTTTATCATGTGTCAGTATCGCCAGGAGAGCTCGTTACGAGACAGAGGCCTGATTCTGCCCCAGTGTCCAGCTCAGAAGTCTGGGGCTCGGGGCTCCAGCATGTGTGTTTCTGATGATTCTCAGGTGATGCTGCCAGTCGGGGACCACACTTTGAGAAGCTCTTACTGCTAATGAGCCAGGCTTTGTCTTAGGGCTAGGCAGTGCCCAAATTTCTGCCTAAATGGCATCCTTCTCCCCAGTGGTCTTTCATGGGCTTGTGGCCAGTGTCCTGTAGCCTGCTCTTGGCTCTGCCATGGAGGGCACCCTTCTGGGGCCCAGAACTCAGCTCCCGCTCTCGTTATTCCGTCCGCCCTGGCTTCTGTTCCTCACTCACTCACTCTGAAAACATTCATGTGCCCCTCCGAGTCAGAGGCTGGGGACGCAGTGTCACTGGCCTGCCCTGCTGACCTAGCCTCTTCCTTCCCACAGGCTTTTTGTCCTGGGCATCGGCTTCTTCACTCTCTGCTTCCTGATGACTTCTCTGGGAGGCCAGTTCTCCGCCCGGCGCCTGGGGGACTCGCCCTTCACCATCCGCACAGAAGGTATCTTAGGGGCGATGGGAGTAAAAAATAAGTGGCAGTGTTTGTGAGTGGACAGGGAGGAGGTGCCTTTGAGCCCAGCCCTGCGGAGGGCTTTCTGGGCCCAGGCATCCTGGCCACCTCATAAATGGATGCAGAAGAGGGGCAAGGTGTCAGCCTTGGCTGTGTGCCTTTGCACACAGCTTTGGCCCTGATCTTCCTGTGCCCAGGGGCTTCCTTTGGCCAGGATTCTCAGGCCAGGAGAGACAGGCTGGGGGCTGGGGTCTCCAGGCATCAGGAGAGGCTGCCTGTGTGGCTCCTTTACTTGGGGTGTCAGGGGTGGTCCCTCGGGATATGATACCCGCCTCTGAGACACACGTTCTCTGCCCTTGGTCCAGGCTGTGGTCACAGTGGGGGCCAGGCCTGGCCACGGGCTCCCCTGTCTCATCTCTGAGCTCTCGGGATGTAGATTTGGCCCGGTTCCTCACTGCTCCTTGCCCATGTGATGGCTGTGGGGAGTGGAGTGGTGGTTCAGAGCATGCACCTCAGGTACCAGTCGAGATGGGGTGAGCGTCTTAGTTCATCACCTACTGGCTGTGTGCCATCGGCCCAGTCTCTTATGTCACCGTAAGAGCAGACTGAAAAAGTAGTGACCTCCCCAGAGACTGGATTGGATAGGCTCACACATGGAATTGCCAGGCGTGGTTGGTTACTACACAGCATGGATGTGACAAACTGGGGGTCCTCGTGCTGGGCCCTGCTGGGGGTGGCAGCTGTAGAGCCCTGCCCAGGGTGCCCCAGGTGGCCTTTTGGTTAGTGGGAGAAGGGAGAGCATAGAGCGGTGGGGAGACTAAAGCAAATGGGTTTCTGGAGATGCATGGCCCAGACGATTTCCAAGTCCCCTTCGCAGACTCCCAGGGCTCGGCACTCTGGCTCCCCTCTTCCCAGAGATGAGTATCGTACTCATTCCGAGGAGCATGGGTTGCCATCTAGAGTGGGCGCTCTGAGTGGCACTTATCACACCATCTGGTAGCTCATCATTCGATTCATTCCTTTGGCTTCACACGTTCTTCTTTAAACTTGCAAAAGCTCCCAGAAGGAATCTCGCACTTATTAGTCATTCGAGCTCGGGTGTAAGTTAATTGATCCCATTTCTGATTGGGATGAGCCTCTGCGTTCTCCCCCAGGAGGTGGGGATAATAACACCGCTTCCCCACGGTGCATGTGTGAAGGGGTCACCACTGACACTGGGTAGAGTGTGAGGGCTCTGCACTCTGCACGTGTTGAACCTGCCAAGGGGCACTGCAGAAAAGGGTGCTGGGGCGGAGGACAGAGGAGGTGTGCTCACGACACAGGGTTGAGGTTGGAAGTGGGATGGGGGCAGGTGCAAAGGTGAGCTGGAGGACTTGGGAAGGGGATATCAAAGGTGGGGTGTGCTGTTTAGGCTCCCTGCTGCAGCTCCTGGAAGCAGGTGTGTTTGTCTGGCTGGGCTGCTGCAAAGGGCTTCAGGAAGAAGCTGGGCCTCCAGCAAGGTCAGGAGTCTGAGAGGTAGGAGTTAGGGGCTAGGGCAGGAGGAGTTTGTGGCTGACTCTAGTTCTTCTGTCCAGGATTGGGAGACCAAGATGACTCCCCTATCCCATGACCCCTGCCCTATCCTGCGCCCAGTGGCAAGATACAGCACAAGGGGCTTGGGAGGGCCCCACTGAGGAGCTACGCTAAGCAGTTTGCTCAGAAGCTGGGGAAGGGCTGGCCAGAGCCCGGGTCTTGTCCCACACTAGGAAGGGAAGTTGTACAAGGTCAGGCAGGTAGACTAGGGGCACATGGGTGTGCATGTATGTGTGTGCATTTGTGCAGGTGCTTAAACTTTTTCTTCAAGTCTAAAACACACGAAGCATACAGATAGTCCATGTCCTCACATCCAGAAACATGATCAGCCCCAGAGCGTCTTCATGCCACCTCCCTGTCACTGCTTTCACACACACAGTTATGACCTTTGCTTCTAATAGCATAGAACTGCTGTGCCTGGGTTTGGACTTCACAAAGAGTGAGTGTTGTTTTGTGTGTGGTTCCTTCTCTCAAAATTGAAGTCCTATCTCATTGTATACGGTCGAGACAGGGTCTTGCTAAATGATTAAGTTGCTTAGGCTGGGCTCAAATTTGTGATCCTCCTGCCTTAGCTTTCCAAAGTGCTGAGGCTGCAGTCATGGGCTGCCAGACCTGGCTGTAGTCATTGTGTGGCTCCACTGTGTCTTTCTCCACGGGTGGACACTGGGTTATTTCCGGTTTGGGACTTTGGGAATAGAGCACCTATGACCAGTCTGGTATGTAACTTCTTTTGGACACCTGTAGGTGTTTCTGTCTGGTGCTCTGAGGAGTGGAGTCTCTGGATCTCTCGTGCTGTCACATTAGCTCTAGAGCAGGTTGATCCAGGTCAAAGCCTTGTCACATTTCCCAAGCCTAGGAGCTGAGTACCTGGAACATAGACCGACAGGCTGGGAAGAGGAGATGGGGGAGGAGAGAGGCCTCTGAGAAACCAGGAGAAAGGACCCCAGTCTAGTTTATGTCCCAATTCTCATTGTCCCCTGGTTTTTTTTTTTTTCTTTCTTTCTTTCTTTCTTTCTTT